TTGGTGGATTTGATGACGACAATGATGCGGGAGATTCGGACGACAACGACGATGTTGCGGCGACCATGGCCAAGTTGAAGCAGAAGAAGGAGGCTGCTAAGGCTGCTGCGCCCGAGAAGCCGAAGAAAAATTTGCAGACGACCGACAACGATGCTGAGGCGGTGGCTGCCTCGCGTCCGATCTCGAAGACAGTCAAAGCGAAGTTGGACGAGGATGATGCGGAAATTGCTGCGTTGGAGAAGAAGTTGGGTCTCAAGAAGGGCAAGAAGCTTCCCAAGGCTTTTGAGGAAGATGGTTTGGGTGATCTCCTCGGCGATCTGGATGAGGGCTCCGATGATGAGAATCGCAAGCGCAAGCGAGAGGCCGACGACTGGTTGCGCAACAAGCGGAGAAAGGCCCAGGGTTTGCCGGTTGATGACGACGTTGAGTCGGATGACGATGACAGCGAGATGGGTAGTGAGGATGGGTTGGATGGATTGGAGGGTTTTGACGAAGACGACGACTCCCTTGGAGACTTTGATGAGGATGAGGACTTGGAGGAGGATGAGGATGAGGAAGATGAGGATATGGATGGCATGGATCTCGACGAGGATGAAGAGGAAGAGGAACCCGTTCCTAAGAAGAAGGAAAACCCATACGTTGCTCCGGTTCAAGAGCCCAGTGGGAATCAACCACAAAAGTACATTCCTCCCTCGCTTCGCGCTAAGGCTTCCTCCGAGTCCGAGAGTCTTGTACGTCTTCGGAGACAAGCGCAAGGACACCTGAACAAGTTGTCCGAAGCCAACATGATCTCAATCCTGGCGGAGTTCGAGAAGCTATACCGTGATTATCCCCGTGGAGAAGTCACCTCGACCCTCATCACACTCTTGTTCGGACTGATTTGCGAACGATCCGCTCTGTCGGATACCTTCATCATCCTGCATGCGGGCTTCATTGCTGCCGTCTACAAGGTGATGGGTATGGATTTTGGCGCGGAGATTGTGCAAAAGATTGTCGAAACCTTCGATGCTCGTGGAGACGAAAGAGGGTCGTTCTCAGGGAAGGAGACAATCAACCTGATCTCCCTTCTTTCCCAGCTGTACAATTTCCACGTCATCTCAAGCACGTTGATGTTTGACTACATCCGGATCTTCCTCCAGGACATTACAGAGGAAAACACCGAGCTTCTCCTCAAGATCATCCGAAGTACGTATCTACTACCCTCCTGCAAGCTCATTCACACACCATACATAGTACTAACGACGAACCACAGACTCTGGTCCTCAGCTCCGCCAAGATGACCCCTCCTCCCTCAAGGATATTGTGCTCCTTATTCAACCCGCCGTAGCGAAAGCCGGCGAGGCGTCCCTCTCCGTCCGCACCAAATTCATGATCGACACGATCACCGACCTGAAGAACAACCGCCTGAAAGCCGGCGCCGGCTCGACCATCTCGTCCGAACACCTCACGAAGATGCGCAAGATCCTCGGCGCGCTCAACAACACGCGGGTCATCCGCGCCTCGGAACCCATCAGCATCTCGCGGGAGGACATCCACAACTCGGCCAAGAAGGGGAAATGGTGGCTCGTGGGCGCCAGCTGGCGCGAGGACCCGCTTGAGTCCGCGCGCCAGGAACTCTCGAGCCTGCCCGCCGGCGCGGACCAGCAGCACGCCCTACCCGACGACGACGACGACAGCGACAAAGAACCCGACTGGGTCAACATTGCCAAAGCCCACCGGATGAACACGGACGTGCGCCGCTCGATCTTCGTGGCCATAATGTCCGCCACGGACTACCAGGACGCCCACGTGCGCTTGCTCAAACTCCGGCTCAAGCGCGCCCAGGAGTTCGAGATCCCCCGCGTGCTGACCCACTGCGCCATGGAGGAGGCCGCGCACAACCCCTACTACACGCTGATCGCCCGCCGGCTGTGCGGCGAGATGGGCCGCCGCATTAAAGTCTCCTTCATGTACACCCTGTGGAACATCTTCAAGCGCATGGGCGAGAACGGCGACCTGCACGACGACTCCGACTCCGACGGCGGCTTCGGCGACGACGAGGACGAGAGCAACAAGCTCGGAATGAAGTCCATCGTCAACCTGGCCAAGATGTACGCCTCCCTGGTGGTGGACGGGACCTTGAACTTGGGGATCTTGAAGATCCTGAACTTCGCCTACCTGCAGCCCAAGAGCAAGACGTTTGTGGAGCTGCTGCTCATCAGCGTGATGCAGCAGTCGCAGCAACAGAACAGGAAGAAGAAGCGAGGGAGCAAGAAGAGCAAGAAAGGCGAGGAGGACGGCGATGAGGAGCGCGATGAAAAGGCCCTCATGGAGATCTTCTTGCGTGTCAAGGAGACGCCGCAGATCGCCAAGGGGCTGATCTTCTTCCTGCGCAAGGTCGTCGCGAAGACGGATATCGTGCCCTCGGGCAAGGATTTGAAGTTGGTGAAGTGGGGGTGCACCGTTGCGGTCGATGCGCTCAAAATTGTGGTGAAAGATACCGGTGCCGATTAAGTCAACGGCTATGCATGAGTTTTTAGCTGGATTTTGGTTGCATCTGGCGTTGCAAGGTGTGGCGTTTTGTTGGGATAGGGCCAAAAGCAAGTGTGTATAGACACGTTATTTCAGACATCATCGTTGCGATGAGGTGGTTGTTATTATCTCATGCTCATACATGTAGGGTATCTAATTTATGCACTATCTTGACCGTCTACATCGGAGACCAGCTCCCATTCCAGCACCACGGTCCACTTCCCTGATGCTTGCAAAGCAGTATTTCCAGAGGGGTTATCTCCAATTTCCTCTCCTATGTCACTCCCCCCCAGATCGATATCCCAGGTCAACCCTCGAGAAATCCCGATGGCAATTCCTGGGCGAAGCTCAGGCATTGTTGAGGTGACACGTCGCCGGGACTGTATCTCCGTCTCAGATTGAGACCGGGGCGCCCCAATGAGAAGCAGTTTCCTGAGCCGTGGATCTATTTCTGTCCCTGCCTCATCACCAAAAGCATCGGTCTCATGCCCGCACACAAACGCAAGAGGACCGCAGCTCGGAAGAGCAGACTGATGCACACTCTCGATCCGAACCACGGTCGAATTGTACCGCGGTTCCCTCCCGGGGGTATCCGCTCCTGTGCGCCAGGCCACACCCGTCTGTCGCTGCTGGTAGTGTCGTGTGCCCGTTTCCAGAACCCAGCTGCGCACTTCAGCAGCCATCCCATCAGGGAGATAAGCATGGGCGGGACCGCGAACACGTCCGCGTCGACGCAGCGCACGCGAAGATGGCGAAAACGGGGTCGGGAGGGCAGCGAGCTCGTCGTCCATGTGCGATGGGGACGGTGAGCGAGGTAGCACGAAGGCTGGTGGTTTACGTCGTTGAGACGACGATGGTGGCTCTTGCGTCGATGCAGAGACCCATGGTTTGCTACTTGATTGGGCTTGGGTGCTTGGAGGGAGGTGAGATGTTGGAAAGAGGAAACGTCGGGGATTGGTTGTGGATGGAGGGTTGATGCTTGCCGGCGCTGTGGGTCGAGGTGTAGCTGTGGCTGCCGGGGTACGATGTGAAGGAGCTGGAGTGGCTTGCGTCTGCATCGAAGACTGTTTGGGGGCAACTGGAGTTGGGGACTGGGATTGAGGCGTTGGGGACGCGGGATGATCTTGTGACGATGACACGATCTGATCTGTGTCTGATCGTGTGGCTACTGGTTGGGATGAGGGAGCATCGTCGTTCACTGAGATTCGACGCCGCTTCTTCCGCTCTTGAATGGCTGCGAAGAGATCTTCAAATTCAGAATCTTCATCTACTGGTGGCACAGGGGAGCTGCTCTGCGTTTGCCCGTCATCGAAGATGATTTCTCCCGAACGTATGTGTGGCGTATCATCTTGCTGGTGGTCTTCCGCATCGTCTGAATCTTCGATGATTTCTTTCCGGCGAGACGTGGAAATCGCACCCCTATCGCGCCTCAAAAAGCGGGCAGTTGGGACCGGAGTGCTCTGGGGTCCGTCGTCTTCGGTGGAGAATGCATCCTGAGTTGCCTGCTGCGATGCGGGGGTTCTCTGTGAGACGAAGAATCGAGGGGTCGAGGCGAACTGTGGCCCTCCACTCGATCGCGAGGATGCGCGAAAGGGTGTCTAGTGGTACGTCAGCTGTTTAAAAGGCTGCTAGAGTTCGACGGAGGCAGTACATACAGCTACAGGACGCATTGAAGCAGGCGAAAGTGGAAACACAACATCGTTGGAATTGATGAGGAGAACGCGTAGAAAAAGGCAATTGGAGATCGACCGCGTCGAATCAATATAGCCAGATTGAGCAGGCGGTCAGGGCTACTAGCTAGGTGCGGGGTGGTTTCCCCAGCTATACTCCGTAGTTACATCAGTCCTTCTCATACTCGTCGATGCCTGCATTCAGTCTACCTTCTTTATCCATCAATTTCACCTACACTCATCTTTGTCACTCATCAAGCCTATCACTCTTGGTACTAATACGAGTCAGCAAGAGACTGCTTTCTCGCTTCTTTCGCAACAAGCGTATGAGGCATTTCTGGCAGCCAATCATTCACGCAAAGAAACCCCGCATATGATCCGTACTCCTGCCTACAGTCGAGAGCCATTGCAGTCAGTATGTGAAAAATCATGGCTAGCAGGGGCCAACTCCAGCCACATGCACGCCGCACAATGCCCTCTTGAATTATTCGAGACATTCCTTATGACCTGGTCTTCATAGTCACGAAGTTCAGCTTCCGCTCATCTTCAGCCCGCCAAAGATGGATATAGAGTTCAGCAAATTGCATTAGCTGGTTTAGCCGCTCTTGCACAGCATAGCATTTTTGCTTTTGGTGGCAAGATGTTCAGCTGCAGTCTCATCCAGCCTTTGCAGTTGTGACTTCATAGTACAATCATCGTCTTTTTTTTAGGGTGCATATATAGTGCCCCCCCGGACCACAATTCTTGCTTTTAGCCCCTCATCGTCCATCTTCTGCTTAGAATTCTGACAGTTTAAACAACGCTCAACCACTTATTACAATGTCGGGCCAACCAGAAGGAGTGGTCTGGTTTACCAAAAAGCTTTTCTCTGTTTGGTGGGACTCAATGCTACATATTAGCGATGAGGATCGTATGAAAGAGCTCAAGCGAGAAGGGGAGGACTTTTATAGGTTTCTTTGGGTTGACATCACAGTCAACGCGAAAGTCGAAGACAAAGACAAGCCAAAGAAGAAGCACCCGCGCACTGAATTTGCTGTCGGAGGGGCGACGGCAAGCTACGACAAAATCTCAGCTCTGTATGGCAGGGATGCTAGCAATCCAACTCGAATTGTGACCTTGCATCAAGATGGAAATATGTTCGCGCAGCCGGAACAGGCATATTTGGTACACTTCCCCATGCCGACTCCCGAGGAGCGATTCCTGTGGCTGGACCTCACCTATGCAATTCGTGGGTATACCTCCCACAGTGTTGGAACTGCCCGTGGCCGTACGAAGATTTGGTCCAGCTGACCCGACTGGATTTCAAACATCGATTTGTTCAGATTCCGTTCGCCATCCCGTACAACTCAAAGCTTTATCCCCAGCCGGAAAGAGATCTTTTGCCGGAGCAAATTGACAGAGCTGGGCTCGAGATCATGCCGGAAAAGACCATCGTGGACAACGTACTGCATCCGATCTTGCAAACACGAACCCGGTTCACGAAGAAGATACTTGGTGAGAAGGCGACTAATTCGGATGGGGAGCCTTCTCACGAGGCTCTTTTCCAAGGCTCAGACGCAGAAACAAAACGAGCCAAGGACGATCTCCGCAAATGGCTGGATAGCTGCAAAAGCAAAGGTCCACAAGATCAATTGGCCAAGGCCAGAGACCTCGATGCATTAGCCAAGAAGTACAATGTTGATCGCAATCCTAAATACTATCGTGCGGAGGTCGACCAAGAAGATCTCAGCAAAAGCCCCAGCGGCACATTCCAGGAATCTCTGAAAAAATGGATGTTGGATTTCTGGGCTGAAAACCGGCCACATCTCTTTAGAACTCAGAAACATGCAGCCTCCGCCGCGCTAGTCGCAGAGAAATGGTCGCAGGAGATAGCTGAAAAGCCTGAGTTCAAAAATCTTACTGTTCAAAGTCTTTTGGAACAAAGAGACACTGGAGAACGTGAGAGATTAGTCAAGGCGCTCTTCGACGCGATCAATGCCGGGCCCACGGGTTGGAAGGTCATTCCCAAGCCCAAACTCAGTCCTGTGGATTCTTTCAGTGCTGCCATCACAGAGATGAGAGCTTTCTTGAAACTTGACTTTGGGGACGTCTTCGAATTCAACCTGGGAAAATGGGTGCTGAAAATGGCAGACTGGAATCAGTTTGGTAAATGGATATACCCAGACTGCCCGGTGCAGCCCAAAGACGACGAGTTGGTTGGTCTGCCAAAGTACACCCCATGGCCTTGGTATCAGCGACGGACATTGCTCTCCTCTCCTGGCGGTCAGCCTGATAGTATTGTGACCGGCCACATTGACTTCACCACGAACCCTACCTTTGGCCTGGGTCTTGCCCATGCGGACGTGACGCTCCGACTGGACGTTACTGAATTGATGTGCATTCTGCCTATGCCAGGGGAGGTATACACCCGTCAAGGGGAAGAAGAAGTTGGGTACCAGAATGTCTCTGCAAAAGGCGAGAAAGGACGACCAATTGACTTTTACAGTCGTGACCTTGTTCTCGCCTTTCCCGCTAGGGAGGTGAAGACCAGCTCTGCGACAAAGGACATGACACCAGGTCATGGAGTTATCACTTACAATGGCAAGAATTTCCCTGATATCATCAAGCGCGAGTACGGCTTGGTCATGAACTACAATATCACCGAGTCGACCCCATGGGAGAAACAACTTGCGCTTTTCATGTTTCAGATCCTGGCCGTCGCAGCGGATGCTATTCCCGTCGTGGGACCTCTCGTTTCATTTATCATCTACATGGGAGGTAATTCGATCATCGATACTGCATGGATCTCGCAGTACGAGAACTCGAGCCCGCCAGTGTTTGCGTTGCTGTATTCTCAGAGAAGTCATGTGGCGAAGTACAAGACGAAGGTAGCGCCGAAGTTCAATTTCAAATTGACCCTCTGAGCGCGGCTACAGGCACAAATTGAAATATCATTGTGGCCGGATATAGCTGGACTTGGCCACTGACTATCTATTCATGGTTGGGGAAATAATATGTGTGTATATATGAAGCGCAAATCAGCGCGCAGAGTTCAATTGGTTTAGGGTTGTGGAGCTCCACCCAGCGATGTAGCCTCCAACCACCTCAAGCTTACAAGGGGAATTACATATGACTGGGCTCGGAAAATATAACGTTTGCAGAAGGTGATTGCAATTTAAAGGTAGACTTGATCGAGATTCTAAAGAAACTGCAGCGCGGCATGGTCCCCTCGTTCGCAGTGAGCAAATAGAGTCTATTGCTCTATTTGAACTATACTAAAGAAGCGCATGGCGATGTGACCGCATGACCCAAGTCTCTCGGAGAAAAAGAGAAAGAAATGGTTTCCCTGCTTCTCGATGCATAGATGCGGACATGCGTTCTTTCATTTTTCACAGCGCCAAACGGTGCTACCTTACATTCTCGAACACATATGAGTCATTGGATAACATCAGGGGTTGGAGCTTACCTTGGCTATGTTTGAAGACCATGATTCGTGGGAAATTGGTTGGAAGAGGAGCTACGGGTGAAAAGAGAGTCGATTCCATTCAAAAGGTAACTTGCTGCTTTTCATTCCGACACACGAGAAATCATTCGCAAGGAAAGCCACTCCATCTCCAACGGGATGCCCCGATAGGAATATTCATCTCCCAGAAACCGAATATCCTTGGCCCCGGATTTTAGCAGAATATCTTCCCACAGATCCTCCCACCGCATGAAGTAGGCTGTGTCCCCATGCGCATTGCCCTCAAAACACATTCCAACCACATACCCGTCCCGGTCGAACACCATCGATCCTGAGTCCCCCCAAAGCATCACACCGTTGTACGAGTTGTACGAGTTGTACATAGAATGTACATAATGAGCCAATGGCTCTCCTCTTGCTTCCGAGTTACTGGCAGTAGTATGGGTGATCCACGCTGTGCGCAGTCCGTTGTATCTCCCTTCCGTTTTGGCCGTGGAATGCCCTATCGTCCATAGAGATTGCCCGGGTTGGAGCCGCTTCTCCAAATACCAAACTCCCACAACTTCGGATACTGGGTCCAGAAAGTCCTCCGAGGAACATGGGGACTGCAAAAAAGAGGCGAAAGTGCTTAGCAGAGATGCGATTATCAGGGGCTAGGATGGGATGGTAGTTTACCTTGTTCTCGCCCAGACGTCGGTCTGCGCGCATGCCGACAAGGGCCCAGTCTAGGAAGACCGACGGTGAACTGACTTCTGAGGAGGAGGGCTCCTGTTGTCGTGCTTTCAGGCCGGACGCGGCGACCACAGTGCCGAACTCGTAGTTCTTGTTATCTTGATACTTCCGGATTTGGGCGCGTTCTGCTCTAATCTTAGTAAGGGTGTTGTTTAGATATGTCCAGAGCTTTAGATCCCCAGGGGCGGACACAGGCTCGTTCTGCGCTTGCGCGGCTTGAAAACGTTCGCAGCGCATTTCATCCTCATAATCTCGTGCGAGATCATCGAGGTTGTCCATGTTCATTGTGATTTCATACAAGCCTGGGCTATCAACCAGGAGGAGTCTAGCCGCTGTGGCGTCTCGGAACGGTACGCCATATGTCTTCCACTCGTCAAAAGCCGGGGTGTTCTCTCCCTTCTGAGCACAGGACTCGACATGTGCATCGGTAGGCAGGACACAGCGCGCGGATGTCAGCGCGTACGGCATCCACTCATCTGTATCCGGATCCTGGAGCTCCACCCAGCAGCCCAGGGTCCCCTGCGCTTCGGGTGAGTGGCCTGAGGCTAGACTATCCCCCATCTCACAGGGTTTATCCTCTTTGAAGCCGTGTGTAAGGGACTTAGGAAGGCCATGCAGGTCCAGAGGTGGTCGGCTTGCCGAGTCCTGGCGGATAAGCACCCCAACTGAATCAAGACCAAATGATTCCAGAACGGTAACAATCTGTTCCGAACCACTTTCCAATCCACGGATGCCGTCGGATCCACCCCCAGCAAGACAGTGGGTGCAGAGCCCGAAATCGAGGACGTCGCCCCAGCGCGACAGCAGCTAATATGAAGGACTCCCGTCAGAAGGATCGTCCGGAGAATTGCTTCTAACACAGCCTCCCACTGCGGAAAGATGGCGTCCTCTACAGTGCACGACTGCATCCGGAGGCGGTTCTTTGCGCAGAACAAGATATCACATATCTCGACCGCGACGTTATACTCATTGGTGGCGGATCCTTCTAATTCTGGGAGGTAGTGGTACACTGCCCAGGCCGCCCGCGTCGCTCGTGCAGCCCAGCCGGGGTCGTTGGGCTTCCTTTTCACTGTGATCTTCACGGTTGGTACGCTCGGCTTGTCTTGTTCGAATAAACCGCGCTGCTTCCAAAAGAGTACATTGTCGATCATCCCCAGGTCATTCTCTTTGCAGATTTCCAAAGCCTTTAGTGCCAAGTCGAGGTTCCTTGTATGGAGAGGATGGTCTGGACTGATCAAATTGCGGTAATAGTCTGGTTCAAACAACGATGGGACGCCCACGCGGAGATCTTCTTCGATACGGTGGTTGTCTGAGGTCGTGTTGGGGCTCTCATCTCTGGATGACCGGTTGTTTCGTCTGGCCCGGATGCGCTGGCCGGACGAGGACAGGAAGAATCCTGACGCGTAGCTGAGTTCGTGTGCGGTGACTGGCACTACCTGAGGTCCACCTGCCAATGATATGGCTAGTAAAGAGTTAGCAGATGCGACTTCTCTAGATCGAGAGATCAAGAGAGTGAAAGAGTGGGGAGGAGGCAAGATACGCATACCTCTCCTGTCTTCTTCCTCTGCAGAATCCACCCCTCGCAACATGCTGGTAGAACTCTGTAGGTGTGCAATAATTGAGGTTATTTGTTGGTTAGGGAAGCTCTGGGAAGAATGAGCAGGGTTGGATTATATTGTGTGCATTTCTTTCTTCATTTCGGTACCTCATCCAGTGAGTCATGGGTGTCATCATATTGACTGTATCCTTCTGGCACTGCGCCATGCGAATCGGTGAAGTAATTCCAGCATAATAGAACAAGCTCATTATGATCGAAGGATTGGCGCTGCAAACGGTTTTGAGTGGTTGTGATGAATTATTCTTTCTCTTTGGCTGAAATACGAAGGCTTGTGGAGTTGACTCTTGGTAGAATCCAAAGTCTTTCCTATTGAAGGAATAGAGGCCGGTGCTCGATCCTAATGTAAATACTATGCTACACATGAAGTTGGAAAATGCACATATCTCATTACCACTTAGTTTGTCATACTATTCCCCTACCTACATAAGTATGACGGTAGATGAAGACGCAGGTTGCACTTCGATTTCCCTATAGCCGGCTTTTCTCGCTAATCTTGGTCCAGGCACTCTCCTTGACCTTCTGGAAGTCCATGATTGCGTCCGGGCCACCAAAACGATTCTGGGTCGCTTTCCAGTCCCTGTCAACGGCCGTCTCTGGTCTCCAGCGGACAACATCTCTCAATTCCTTCTGGAGATGACCTTCCAGAGCGTCCGCGATAAATCCTCCAATTGAAGGCATCTGCATCGCGCCGTTACCGGATGCTCCTACAGCAACGACCAACGAAGGATGCTTGGGATGCCGATCAATCAAGAAGGCACGATCTGGCGTATCAGCATCCCAGCAGATACGAGCAAAGGAAAGCGGTCGGTCTGCAAGCTGCGGCATTGTGTCCCGGAGAAAGTCCCTAGCACGAGCCTCGGCTTCTAGCGGAATCTGGTGTGCTGGAAATGGGATACTCCTGATGTCACCATTTCGCTTAGGATCAGGAACAAAGTTGCAATAGCCAGGATGCTCATCGCAGATCTTCAACTCATGCTTATCCTCATCGGGCTCCATGAAGAAGCCCTTAGCAATGTTGAACAGCACGGGTAGATTCTTGTAAAGTTTGGCCTCTTCAGGAGTCATCTTGATATGGCACAAAGTCCAGGCTGTAGGACGCAGCTGCTTCTCAAAGTCCAGAAGCCGGTCACTGCCCGCACCAGCCGACAAAATGGTGCGGTCCGCGCGATGAACCACGCCATCGGATGTTTTTGCTCCCACAACATCGCCATTCTTGAAGACTAGAGCCACAACATTTCCTTGCGGGGACCCGGTAAGAAATTTGGCTCCCAAGCGCTTGGCTTCCGTGTAGGCGGATACCATGGCTTTTTGGGCGTGGATCCATCCCGCGTTGGATTTGTTGAGCCAGCCCTGCCAGCCGGGGAACTTGCCAGTCAAGACTCCTGCCGGCATTGTCTTGCGAAAGTCCTCTGCCGTTTCCAGCTTCACAAAGTCACCCATCGAAGGTTCAATTTCTGTCTCGCGAATGTGTTCGATCAACGCAGGGGTGTGACCCGATACAACCACGCCGGTTTCATGGAAATATGGCTTGAAAACGGGATCTGTTTTCCAGCCTTTCAAGGCAGCACGGGTGCAGGTAGCAAAAGCAATGCTGCGGGGATCCGTATCAGATTCTAGTCACTTATCAGTCAGTTCCTCTTTGGTTCGCCGAGTCTCAAGGATACTTACCCTTCGGCTCTCGATGTTCCATGATTTTGTTGATATCATTCCCAGCTGCAATCGCAGAGGGAACGGTATAGGGATCTAGCACCGTGACATTCTTGTAGCCACGACGGACCAAGTGCAAAGCCGTTGAGCATCCCCAGACACCCGCACCTACAATGAGGATGGTGGAATCATGACTTAAATCCGAGGGGGCCATGATGCTGAGAGTTGTGTACTGGATGTAGCGGGCAAGTGGAGAAGGGCTTGCTCTGGTACGGAAAGGAACAGATCAAGAGAGCATCGGCCAAGACGAGAGTATTTGAAGGGAAGGCTTCATCATGCCATGTCCATCTGTTCATCGCGGAATTGAACCGAGGGGGATGAAGTATGAGGCAAAGTGGAAGAAGCATGGCAGGGAATCAGCGATCGAGCAGCCAAAAGGCGGGGTTCCCAATGCAGTTTAGCCCACCGGTTGGACCTTCCTCGCTTCTGAGCATATCGACGACTCCTTCTACTCAGTATACTCAGTATACTCAGTATTCACCTTACACTCCTAACCGTCCTCTTCTCCACACATCCACTACAGTGATAAGGTTGTCTCGTGGCGGATGCTATCAGTCGCGTGCAGTGTCCAGACCTGCTTTAGTTGGTGGATCTGGCGGCTTCTCCGCATCTTCCTCTCCTTGCCCTTCTTGGCAGATGCCATCAGTCTCGACCCCGTTGCGATAACACCCGTCGTTTGGAGCTTCCTCGACAAGTATACTTATCTTTGTTCCATTCATTCTGCCTCAATGGCTCTAGGGAAAGGGTCTCACTCCACCTCTCTTATCACGAGGCACTGCGTTCACGATGTCGCTAGAGTTTGGCCATTGTCGGCTTCGTGATTGCAGTGGCGGACAAACCAAGGTCAAAGATCGTCTTGCCTTGCCTTATCGTTCATCACCTATCATCACCTACCATGGCATTATGCTCGGTTATTCTCATCCAATCGGATGAACAAATGGACCTTGATAGAGCGGAATATTGACGCCTCCCTGGGCCTGAGGATGCTCTTTGGCTCCAGTCAAACCGCGCTGGTGCTGTAGAGATGCATTTAAAAGAGCGGCCACTTCCCCTCCCGGTCTCCTGTCTTTGTCCTGTCTGCCATACATCAAGACATCATGACTCGCTCTGAGGATATACAAACAGACGTACCGGGAACGGTCTACCTCGTCGACGCAGGGGGAAACCTGAGCGACGCTGCCCATGCTGGCAGTCAGGATATCATACTGATTCCCCAGCCGACTTCGTCAGTTGCCGATCCTTTGGTATGTGGGAGAAAGTTAATTAGCTGGCCTCTATTCTCAAGACTGACTGTTCCCTGTTAGAACTGGCCCAGGTACAAGAAATACTGGACGCTCTTTCTGATTTCTGCCTACGCATGCTTGAACTCCTTTGGCGAGAACAATTGGGGAGCAGCATGGACAACAATCTCGGAGGATACCGGTGTGAGCTTGAGTAATATGAACGGTGGCTCTGCTCTCAACTATCTCATGCTCGGCTTTTTCAACATAATTTGGATCCCCACAGCCATGAAATTTGGGCGAAAAATTGTTTACATCCTCAGTTTGGTCTTCGTACTTGCTAGTGGAATCTGGGGCGGTGTTTTCAGTGGTGTTGCACAGTACTACATCATGATGACTGTCAATGGTATCGGTACCGCAGCCTACCAAGCCCTAATTCAGCTAACGGTACGTCACCTCTATAGACCCTCTCTGTGGGTACTAATGGTTCATAGATCTTTGATGTCTTCTTCTCCCATCAACGTGGCCGAATGCTCGCTATCTATATCTTCTTCCAGCAGCTTGGTTCCATCATTGGCTTGATTTGTGGTGGTTATATCTCCGATGGCATTGGCTGGAGATGGAGCCAGCCCATTGTGGCAGGAGCATGCGTAAGTTCTTGTGCTATCAACACAGAGCATGGCCGAAGTTAATTGAGTTTTAAGGCTTGCTTGATTCTTCTCTTCATCTTCACTTTTGATGACACCATGTTCCCGAGATACCGGTTCTCAGGCGATACATCGTCTGAGGACTCGAAGGTCGACCCCACCACTACACTGCCCATGGGCGACAAGGACCAGAAGATGGAGGCCCCTATATCCGTCGTAGCCAGCCATAGTGCAGGGCAGATCGCAATGCCCCCACGGACCTACCGCCAAAAGATTGCTTTAGTGCACTATTTCAAAGACGACCATACAACCTGGTTCCAGTACTTCCGCCGTCCATTCTTCCTCTTCGCCTTTCCCAACATCCTCCTGGCAGGTATTCAATTTGCCCTAGGCTGCACCGCCGGGATTGTCTCCTTCAACACCATCTCCGAGATCATGACCGAGCCGCCATACAACTGGAGCGCTGGTCCCGCCGGGCTGATCTTCCTAGCTGCCCTCGTCGGCAACTTCATTGGGTACGGCGCCTTATCCAGTGCAATCCAACATTCAAGCTAACCACAAACTTCAGAATGGGAATCGGTTCGCTGTCTGACTGGCTTGTCATCTTCCTCGCCCGCCGCAACAGGGGGTACAAGGAACCCGAAATGCGTCTCTGGGCCTACGGACTCCCCATCATCCTCGCCGCCGTCGGCTACTTTCTCTATGGCTGGGGCGCCACCGAGGGTGCCCACTGGATGACCATTGCCGTCGGTCTCTGCTGCATGATCGCACAGCAGGTCTCTGCCACGAGTATCGCGACTGCGTACGCAATGGAATGCTTCGATCAGGTTAGGCGCATGTCCCCTGGCTATACTGAAACCCCTGCACCCCTTCCTTCTCTTGCCGATGCTCTTCTTCCGCTTTCCCTTCCTCTTGTATCTTAGGTCGGACTATCTAACCCTACAAACCATATACTAGATATCCGGAGAACTAGTCATCATTCTAGCCTGCTGCTCCTCCATCATCAACTTCGTCATTTCCTTCACGGTACAGGACTTCATTGACGGGACAAACTACGGCTGGACCTTTACCTTCTACGGCATTTTGGTCGTACTGTCCATGCTGATGGGCGTGCCGATGCTGATCTGGGGCAAGAGTTGGCGCCGCAAGTGCAAGCCACGATATGAGCAGTTCCTCGCCGAAAAGGATCTCCATTGAGCTGTCAGCCCGGGCGACTCCGGACGGCAAGCAAGCTTGCTACGTGCTCGTACATCCTCTTCTTATGATTCATGATTGCTATACCTGTTTCCTCGTCTACTTGCTTGCTCCGTCGCTATGGTTTTTGGTCCATTGGGCACAAACGAATCACTGGCCTTCAATGCAAGACAAACATGCACTGCACAAATAATCTATTCCGCCTGAAAATACCAGTATCCTCATTCTCTCCTACACTATCAGGATATGTCTAGTTGGAAGATAGAATTGTCTCTGCGTGATGGGAACGCAAGGGCTGTTGAATACCCATGCTGCTCCGTAGGCAAATATGGAAGCATCAACGAGGCTTATGCATGCGTGAAAGCCACGAGCTACTGACTTCGCGGGGCCGACATTGAGGAGGAATGTGTTTGCACACACGCGGCGATTGCGAGATTTGGGAGTGGGGACGGAACCATTAGACTAAGTGGGTGAGATGGGAAGGTAGATTGCGTCACTTTTCTGGAAGTGCAAGTAGCAGAAGTAATGCTAAATCATGAATTCATGAATCATGACGGACGGGCACGTCTCGTCTCTCACGAGAAGAATTTCTGAGCGGCAGCGCGCTCCTTAGCCACGCGATCCTTAAGAGCCTTCTTCACCTTGGCGATTTCGTTGGTAATACCAGCATCGCCGGGGGCCAGACGATCGGCCTCTTGGAGGTCCTTCAGGGCCTCGTCCTCCTCCTTCAGGCCGCTCAGGGCAACGGCACGGCGGTAATACGCCTTGGCCTTATCGGCATCCTTGGCCTCGGCGGCAGCAGCCACATCGAGGGCGTAAGTAGCCCAAGTCTGAGCGTTCTTGAATTGGCCGAGCTTGTTCGCCAGGAGGGAAGAGTTGGAGTGGAGGGTGAAGCGGAGAGCCTTCATCTGGGGGCCAAGCTCCTTAGGGTCCTGCTCGTCGGGCTCGGGGAACTCGTTGAGGTAGCGCAAACCCTTCTGGTACTTTTCGAGACCAAGGGCGATGTTGCCGCTCTTAAAGGCGGCGTTTCCGAAGTTCTTCAACTCAGCGGCGATCTTGTAGCACACCGGAGCACTCAGCTGCTCGCCCTGGTGGTCATCGGGGAAATCCTCGTAGGGGTCGCCAGTTGCATCAGGGGTCTGCTTGTCGGCATCCTCGTAGTCTTGGCCGGTGAGCTCGCCGCAGTCGACAATGGTGACGTCCGTGGTGGGCTTGTCTGCCTGGGTAGACATGTTCTCGATCTTGCGAACAACGCTCTTTCCGTTGATTACCTCGCCGAAGACGACGTGCTTGCCGTCAAGGTGAGGAGTGGGGACAGTGGTGATGAAGAACTGACTGCCGTTGGTGCCGGGGCCGGAGTTGGCCATGGAGAGGAGGAAAGGCCGGTCATGCTTGAGGTCGAAGTTCTCGTCGGGGAACTTCTCGCCGTAGATGGATTCGCCGCCAGTGCCGTTGAATGCAGTGAAGTCACCACCCTGGATCATGAACTGCTTGATCACACGGTGGAAGATGGAACCTGGTCAAGTCATGGGTGGTTAGTTTTGGCTTGCGAGGACCAATGTCGGAGCGGACGGGAAGTGGGAAGGAGAAAAAAATTATGGGACCGGAAATGGTCAAAATCGTACCCTTGAAGCTCAATGGCTTGCCCTGCTTGCCCACGCCCTTTTCGCCTGTGGAGAGTGCACGGAAGTTCTCTGCGGTCTTGGGAACAACTATTGTCTGGTCAGAGTGTGCCCGGAAAAAGGGTCGTGGAGCTTAGGTTGGTACTATACCATCGTTGAACTGCGCGGGCGGGGTAGGTTAGCAAGGCTCTCACTCCAAGATCGGCGACCTCGGCATAGGAAAGGAAATGTCCGCTAATAAAACGAAAGAACTACTGACCAGCTCGAGAGCAATGCGACCGGCCTTCTGTTCACCGATCTGAATGTCAAAGAAGACACGGGGGCGGCCTGTAGGAGCGCAATGGGTCAGTTACCGGAGCTTCGAGGCTGGATCCCCGCGGCGGGGAAGAAGGGAAGTCGGAACACACGCTGAGACTCAGCCATGGTGCTGGATGATGGCTATGTGTGGAGAGTGAATGGACAAGATAGGTGGGAAAGCGGAAAAGGTGGCTGTGAATTGGCACAGGAAAGAGAAGAAGAAGAAGAAGAAGAAGAAGTAGAATGTATAAGGAGAAGTCAGACAATGGGTAAGTGGATAAAATGACTGAATGACAGACAGACAGACAGACAGAGTACCAGTAAATGAGGAGAAAGGAAGGAAAGTCAAGAGGAGAAAGAAAGTCCAGGACTAAAGAGGTAAGAAGTGGGCTGGGCCGGGGCCCTCTGCTTGCGATGCTTCAAGAAGCTTCCATCGTTTCCAGTTCTCTTTGGCGCCTACCGGGAATCTCTGCCACTGGACGTACTGTACATACAGTAAGTTAACTTCATCTTTTCTTTTCTGTTCTTTTCCTTTGCTTCCCCCTTCCCCCTCCCCCAATCCCGTTACATTCCACCTGTCTCCGTCTTGATTGATGGATAGATGAGGGGAAAACGTACACTAGTTAGCGATCGATCGCGGTCTGATAGGAGTGGATCTACGCTCCTACTGCTACTGTTCGTACCGAGCAAGGCAATCTGGGGAATTCTATGCTTCTGGAATCTAAACGCCCTCCCTTCCCACCCACCCCATTTCCCCCTTCCCCCCAAATCTATTTATGGGTATGTCTATAAGGAACTTTTTATATACACCTGAACCGACCTGAATCTCGAGGGATCATTCTTTTTCGTAATTTCATCGTGACGCCCTTCCATCAATCAATCCAATAACTCCGCGGGTATCTTGAACTCGAAAGTCTGAGGCCGCGTTTCTTGCGGCTCGGCCTCCTTCTCCTTCTTCTCCTTCTTGGGTAGTTGGGTGTTGATCTCGATCGTGACCTATATCAGCCGCAAAGAACCATAAGCGTCAGCCCAGAATCATCAGTGAAGGAAGCAGGAAGAGAAGCGAGAGCTTTACCACCGCATCTTCACTGCGGTAATCTACACCCACCGGCCCGTCGTTTTTGAGCTCGACCTCCATCATCGCCTGGAAGATGCCATTCTTCACCCGCTCAGGCTTGTAGCTGTTGCTCAGTTTTTGGTAAAAGTAGTCGTAGAGTTTGCGCGCAGTCTCCACATCGGCTGCGGCGTGGAAGTCCGGCTTGCTTCCCTTCTTCAACTCGCCATAGAGGGTAAATTGTGACACTGGATGGGAGAGGGCAGGGGTGTCAGCGAAGCGCATCCCAAAAGACGATCGGTGGAGGGATATGACTGTACCGCAAAGCACTTCTCCATCGATATCTTGGACGTTCTTCTTCCACTAGATTTGCAATGCGCCGCGTTAGATGTGTGCTGCAGGCAACCGAGAGATCGCGAGCCTCGTCTCACCGGTTTCTCATTCTCATCGGACCAAAGCTTGGCTTTCAATATTCGGCCAACCATCGTATCGGCATCTTTTTCCGTGTCCTCTTTGCCTACACCGGCAAGCACAAGCAGCCCCTGGCCGATCGACGACACAAGTTGTCCGTCGACGGTGACCGAGGCGGACTTGACTCGTTGAAGTACCGCTGTGCAAGGCATCAGTCAGGGCTATTTTATTTCGCAGGCATTTCTCATAGATTGCGCACCCTTCATATTGCAATGCGCCAAGTAATAGTAATCAAGAAAATGGTCGTGGCAGTTCAGCGATGGGGAAGTCTGCGAGGGTTTATGGAACTGCTTGTCAATATCGGCCTTATTGCGGCAAGCGGGTAGCTGCAACCGGCGGCGCATACTACTACTCACTGTCACTGGACAACAATTGACTGCTAAGTAAAATGCTGGAAATTATGTCAGCGCACTCCTGTACAGTGGTCCAATACTAAGGGAAATGGGCAAATTCAGCCTCCTACCTCAAATCTTGCCAACCTGAAGACAAAAAAAGAAGTTGTTGTAGATTTCACCAACGCACACCATGGATCATGTATGACGGAGGAGAAGATGATGAACAGTAAGATTAAAGAGTTGCCCGCTCGCCGCCCCCGGGATCGGTAATGCCCATCCCCCCGTGACCGCCTACTGCTTCGGGCATTATCCCAGCTTCGAAGAGACCAGGACCAAAGTATCAGGAGATTGACACTCCTTCACTGTGTCCCTAGAAACAATCACGCCCCCCGCGTTCTTTTGTCAACAAAGAGCTGTGCCGGCAGTAACTTGCCCCCACGCGCTAGACCATTCGATATTCTCTTCAATCCGCCCTGCGACCTTCCCTCCCGTTCATCCCATCCGTTCCTCGGCCCTTCCGAGTCTCACATCACCCACGTCAATTTTCGTCGAGTCCCTTCCCCTCTCTTGTTCATGTGGAAACGGTCGCCGCTATGACGTCCCGAAAAACGCAGCAGGAGATTGACAAGACCTTCAAGAAGGTCGCCGAAGGCATCGTCACATTCGAGGGCATCTACGAGAAGATCCGCTCGACGACGAATCACACCCAGCGGGATAAGCTCGAGGAAAACCTGAAGCGCGAGATCAAGAAGCTCCAACGGTATCGAGATCAGATCAAGTCGTGGGCGTCTGGAAATGAGGTGAAAGATAAGGGTCCGCTGCTCGAGCAGCGCAGAGCCATCGAGACCGTGCGCATCCCTCCGCCCTTCAATGCCTTGGCGAGGAGGGCAGCTTGTTTTGCTGACTATAGGAGCTTCTAGTGTATGGAGCAGTTCAAGGCCGTCGAGAAGGAGATGAAGACGAAAGCATACTCCAAGGAGGGCCTGTCGGCAGCGTCGAGATTGGATCCCAAGGAGAAGGAGAAGGTGGAGACATGCGACTTCCTATCGAGCATGGTCGACGAGCTACAACAACGGATCGAGGCTATGGAGGCAGAAGAGGAGACGTTACATATGCAGATGAAGAAGGGGAAGAAGGACGTGGCCAAGACGAATCGGTTATCGGATATTTCGCGGATCACGGAGCGTCATAAGTGGCATGTCAACAAGTTGGAACTGCTGTTACGGTCGCTGCAGAACGGCAACGTCGAGACGCAACAAGTCCTGGATCTCAAGGAGAGTATCAAGTACTATGTGGAAGACGGGCACAACTTGGACTACTCGGGCGAGGACGAGACCCTATACGATGATCTGAACATGGACAATGAGGCGGAGATGCAGTTCGGCATCGCGGGCGACAACGACCGTGTATCATCGCAAGATACCCAGTCGGTGCAAGAAGAGGAACCGGAGGTTGTCAAGCCGAAAGCGAAGCCCGATACCTCGGGACCCCGACGACCTTCCGCGCAGATGAAGTCCCCTCTTCCCGTGCTGGCCACCCTCCATCCCGCAACGTCGACAAGTGCCACCTCGGGCATGAAGCCCGCCCCGCCTCCAACGCGCCTGCCAGGAGAGACCCTCAAGTACGCCTCTGCGGCGGCTGCAGCTGCTGCCAGCGACAAGAACGGCGTGGGCATCGCGCCTCTGCCGCCACCGCCAGGAGCCAGCCCCGCTTTCCCCCACGCCGTACCTGCATCCAAACCCTCCACCTCCACAACCGCCTCCCCCAGCATCGCTCCCGCACAACCCGCGGTGAAGTCCTCGACAGGCGTCACGATAGCGGGCGAGGAGTCGAGTAGTGGCAGCCGGTCCAAGACCCCTGCTGCGAGTCCGCACGTGGCCAGCGCAAGCACGTCGACGCGAGGCGTGCCGCAGACCCCCGCTATGGAGAAGGTTGAGGCCTCGGGTAGCGGCAACAGCACTAGCAACAACATCACCACCACCACCACCACCACCACCACCAGCAACAAATCCCGACCCACGACGACGGCGAACACCACCAACGGCGAGTCAAGCGGCAAGGAGGAATCGTCGCGCGAGAGCGAGGAATCCATCTATCACCTCCCGCCGGGCCTGCAGGATCTGATCCAGTCATTCGAAGTGACCAAGAGCCGTGCCGCGGCCAGTGCGACCAACCCGTCCCCATCGGTGCAGCGGTTGCTGGCGGCCTCCCTGGCCAATTGCCCCGAGCCAGCCGACGCGGAGAAACCCCGTCACTACAAGCCGCAGAACCCGTACAACACGCCCCTCTACTACCCCCAGGAACCTCTCCCGATCTTCGACGACCCGCGTCTGTACGAAACCGGTCGCATCGACACGGATACGCTGTTCTATCTGTTCTACTACCGCCAGGGCTCGTACCAGCAGTACCTGGCCGCCAAGGCGCTGAAAAACCAGAGCTGGCGGTTCCACAAGCAATACCAGACCTGGTTCCAGCGCCACGAAGAACCCAAAACCATCACCGAGGAGTTCGAACAGGGAACGTATCGTTTCTTCGACTACGAGAGCACCTGGTATGTTTCTTCCCCGCTTCTTCCCTTTTGCTCACTCTTCTTGGAAGTAAGCCGGTCCAACACGAGAGTAAACTAACTTCGGGACCACAGGATGAACCGTCGTAAAGCGGATTTCAAGTTCGTCTACAAGTACCTTGAGGACGAACTATAAACCACCCCTTCCTCCACAACCATCAGCACGCGAACCACAATAATTCGAGGGCAGACTTACGAGATGTTGTTTGTGTACATGTGTTGAAATGTTCTATTTGCTCCCTCTATGATTTCACCACTGTAGATGAAGAAACACAAAACAGAGAGAAATCATAAGGAACAAAAAAACAAAGACTTTTATTTCCTTGCTCATTCTGACAGCCGCCCATCCGGTTGCAGGAGGTACTGTACTGTGCCTCGAAGTGATTAAATCTGTCTCTTGTTTCTGATCTTATCTGTGATCTGTGTGGGATTTTTTTTCTTTTCTTTCTGTTTTCTGCTGGGTCTGCTCTTGTTTTTCTTTCTCTCTTCGAAAGCATGCAAAGGGAACGAAGTCTTACGACATAAGGGGACACAAACTGGGAGTTTCTGTGCTGTTTTATTCCTTGAACATGAATGGGGCTGCCGGGCAAATAAAATCACTGCAAAGAAAGGAGAAAGAAGAAACCTTTTCTTTTTTGGTATGTTTGTTTGTTGAGATCCCTCTCTCGACCTTGGTGCATTAAAGGGTTACTGTTGTTGCTTTTGGAAGATGATCTTGTCTTGATCTGAAATGAACACCATTTGGAATGGACACACATAAGCATCTCCCTCCCA